TTCAAAGAATTAACGAATCAAAAAGCTGGTTTTTCCAAAGACTCAACAAAATTGGTAAGACCCTAGCTAACCTCATCACAAAGATGAAAGAAAAAACTCAAAAACAAGCAATAAGGAATGAAAAGAGTATAAATATCACAGACCCAGTGGAAATTCAGAAGATTATCAATAGCCATTTGAGAATCTTTACCTCACACAATAGAAGACACAGAAAATATGGACAGAATCCTACAAGATACAAATTTCCAAAATGGAATCATGAAGATATAGCAACTCTCAGTAACCCAATAATTGCCAATGAAATAAGCAATGTAATAAAAAACCTACTGACAAAGAAAAGTCCAGGTCCTAAAGGACTCACAGCTCAGTTGTATAAGAAATTTACAGAGGGGATAATCCCAATACTCCTCAAACTCTTCAATGAAATTGAAAAGGAAGCAATCCCCCCCCCCCCAAATTGTTCCTGGAGGCAAGTATTGTACTGATACCAAAATCAGGGAAAGACACAACTAAAAAAGAACTACGGACCAATCTCCCTCATGAACATAGATGCCAAAATCCTCAATAAAATCCTAGCAAACAGAATACAGCAAATCATCAAGAAGATCATACACCATGATCAGGCAGGATTTATCCCAGGGATGCAAGGATGGTTCAAAATAAACAAATCTATAAATATAATACACTATATCAATAGAGCCAAATCCAAACACAACATGGTCATCCCAATCGATGCAGACAAGGCTTTTCACAGAGTCGAACACTCATTCATGTTCAAAGTCCTACAGAAAATTGTAATAGATGGCCTCTATTTCAATCTGATAAGAGCTGTCTATGACAACCCAACAGCTAATATAATTCTAAATGGGGAAAAATTGAAATTTTTTACTCTTAGATCAGGTACACGACAAGGATGTCCTTTATCACCACTGCTATTCAATATAGTTCTGGAATCATTAGCTAGAGTCATTACACAAGAGAGAGAAATACAAGGAATAAGAATTGGTAGAGAAGAAGTTAAACTATCATTATTTTCAGATGACATGATACTTACTTGGAAGGCCCAAAAAACTCTACCAATAAGCTCCTAGAATACACAAATTCAGTAGCAGAGCAGG